TTAAATTACTTTCGCTGCTAGAATGATCTTCTGATCGAGTCTTTTATCCACTCTTGTCCAGTCAAGAATTAGTCAAACTCAGACACATATTTTCGCTCTTAGGGGAAGTACTATATTTGTTTAAAAATTGGAAAAATAAATCTTTACACAACAAAGAACTTCTTAAGTGTTAATAGATACCATTACATGTTGAATATTAATAGAATAACCATTTAGTATGTATTACAAAATACGCATACAAAATTGTATTACCTAGAAAAAATATTAAACTGAATATTAAAAATAAATAAATTGTTTCGAGATTCTTAAGAGCGAGACAAGTGCGCGATAATACTTTTTCGAAAACAAGGCTTCGAATTTTACTCTTTCTTTCTACGTGACTTCCTGTACACATCTTTATCCCTCGCCTTAGATTAGATTTCCTCTTTCATCTTCCGACGGAATTTCCTTGTAGATTTCTTCTACCGTTCGTAGAATAGTATCCCGGATTCCGGATGCCAGTGTCCGGCCGGAAGTGTGCCTTGGTTCACGGATGCGAGCGATCGAGTCACGTGTCGCGAGATCTAGACGAACGAACGGAGCAGAAGGAATTGGAGCGATCTCGTGGCCGTTAGTCGTGTTTTGTCTCCCCTCGTTTCCCGAATCCCGTGGCTCTCGTCGCTTGTTTCCGCTCGCGTTCTCTGTCAACGTTTCGAGCATGCAACTGGTGAAAAGCCGCGAGGAGAAAAAACACAACGATCGTCCCGGCGTTAAGAAACGCGTCGTCGTGCGGACTGGCAGGCTCAGACTCAAGGACGCGCAATGCCGACGATTCGAGATCGACTCGAAGTGAGCTCGCGCCGTTACTTTCGCCCGCTCGGCGGTGTTAACCTTTAATTGAAACGAACGTTAATCCGCCGACAGGTCGGCACGTTCCTCCGGCCGATTTAAGTGGATTTCCGGAACGATTGGAATTACGCGGGATTAATGGAAGAGACCGTGCCTGACGAGACTCGGTTCTGCACCCTGATTTCTCGAAATCGCCGCCTTCGCCGCGATAAAATTCCACGTTGATCACTCGACGTTATCGGCCGAGCCACGGCTTCCCGTAATCCACGAAATTTACGAATCGAAGGATGTAGTTCACGGGGGGGGGGAGGGGGTAGTCTTTTATCGTTGCTTCTTGATTAACGTAATCGTGGTCAGTAATTAATTCGACAAAATCAAGTCACCGACGAGAAACTGCTTTTTATCATGGACAACGGTATCACGATTTAATTTTAGAAACGATCTTGAATTTTGGCACGCATTCCTCAGGATTTCACTTATTTTTAGCAATCAGAAATGAAACATTGAAGGAGGAAAAATTAATCGACTTTCAGACAGTGGATAGTTTTATACTATAAATTTTTTTCTTTTTTTTTTTTTTTTTT